GAACTATTGTATCCTCCAAGACAGTTCCTCATCTAAACCATTCCATAGCTAAAGTCTGACTTATCGTGATTTTAAGGGGTGAGGGAGTGGAAGAAATGAGGTTAAGGAAAAAGTGCAGAGTCAGCCTCCCCTCTGCACAGCTGGCGTCTGTAACCATGTGCGGCTACAGCTGTCAGTGAGGACAGCCTTTCATGTTTGAGTTCTAAAACAGGTGTGAACAAACCAGCTTCACACCATCATCCCAATTAATTGTGTGTGTGTACAGGATTTCACATGTGTATATACCAAGAAACTTGTCTCCTTTTGCCATGTAGATCTTGAGGATCAAGATCCAGCCGTCAGGTTTAGTGGCCCCGGTTCCTTTACCTAGGGAGCCATTTTGCTGGCACCAAATCATCTCCACCACACGGCTTTCTGCAGGGAACGAGGTGTGAAGGTGTGTACCTATAACCCAGCACAGAGGTGAAAGAAAGAAAGAAAGAAAGAAAGAAAGAAAGAAAGAAGGAAGGAAGGAAGGAAGGAAGGAAGGAAGGAAGGAAGGAAGGAAGGAAAGAAAGAAAGAAAGAAAGAAAGAAAGAAAGAAAGAAAGAAAGAAAGAAAGAAAGAAAGAAAAGAACAAGAAGAAAGAAAACAAAACAAACAAAAACTGTTGGAAGTTTGAAGTTTGAGGCCAATCAGGGCTATGGGAGATCCTGTCTCAAAAATATAAAACTAAACAAAAAGCCCATCTGGGAGCATAAGAGTAGACAGAAAGTGATGTCATGCTGTGCTTCAGCCCATCTGCATAGTCTCAGTGCTCCCTTACACAGGATATGCTTGCCCTCAGTAGTGTTAATAATACAACTTTTCTGGCCTGATTTTGCTATGTCCTACAGCTGATGAATTGTCAGGATGCCTCAGCCTGCCTTACTTCAGTCTTTTCCTTTTCCTTTGGTCCTGCATGGGACTTTCTGTTCTGTCACCCACTTGGATGCTTCATTTAAAACTTTTCTGAGGTGAACTTAGGGCACCCGTTAACACCCAGGAGTTGATGCTTTGCTCCGTACGTGGTCTCCTTGTGGTTGTGTGCCCTTGCTTTTGGAAGAGTGGCAGTTTTCATCTACAAGGCTGCTCTTTGACCTGTCGGCCAGCCCTGCAAAACTCAGCTGTTTGCACGGAGCTCCCCCTCCTAGAGGAGCAGAACCCCCCAGAGGCTAATGCTTGCTGGAAATGTTCTTTTGTGCGCCTGTGAAGATTCCTTGAAGCCACCTTTGACGTGCATTTTGTGACTGGGAGAGAAAAAAATAAAATATCATTTTGTTCACCCAATCAGTGTCTCATAGATGAGAATTTTGTTGAGTGGAGGCTTTCTCAGAGGTGAGCTGCCCTTTTCTGTTACACAAAGGGTTATGGCGACATTGGCTTTTCTTTTACTTCTCCTGAATTTTATTCTTTTTAATATGTCAGGACACAACATTTCATCAGTAAAATGGGTCAGGGAACTGTCTTCCAAATCTCAATTTTGTTTGGCTTCCTGAGAAACAAATTTCATCCGAACATATAAAACATATAATCCGTAGTTCAAAGAGTTATCCTTCAAAAAGGAGAAGTCCTGAGGAACATAAAACATGGGTGGTCTTTTAGTGGACATTAGTTTTGCTTCATTATCTTGGATCCTTATTTCTCCTCTAACCAAAAATTAATATACCCTAATGTTGTTATAGTTAAACATTAGTGTCTTTCAAGATCAAATATTAACTTAGAATGTAAGGTCAGTAAACCATGTAATGATTTTGACCAAGAAGAACTTTTATTCTTGAACACCAGTCAGTCTAGTAGCAAACTTTAGATATGACACACCCTTAAACAAAAAACATTACCTTAGAATCTAATGACTATTATCTTTCTTCTGTTTCTGTTTTGTTCTGATATAGCATATTGTTAAGTAGCAGAGACTAGCCTTAAACTCTTCATCTTTCTTCCTAAACATTTAAAATACTGAAATGAAAGTCATGGACCACCAAGCTTGGCTTAATTCCTTGAGCTATATAGATTTAATTATAATATCTTAGTTTCTATACTCAACAATGAACAATAATTTAGGCACAGGAAAATGCATCATAAGATAGACTGAGGAGGCCATTTATTTTTATCTATCCACCTTCAAAGTGGGATTAGGCCCAGTATGTCAAACTTCCCTGTTAAAAAACAAACCTCTTAGAGCATCACCCTTAGTAACAGGAAAAAACAAAGTTAATCTCTAGAGGTAACCCCTGTGTCATCTTCGGTGAGGATGGTCTGTTTGTTGATCCAGTTCTGTCTGTCTATCTTTCTTTCTCTCCTTTGTAAATGTACAACACACTCTTGATTACTAAATATTCATTGAAGAGGGCCCTACTCTATGCTTAATAAATTAAGTTTTAATTCCAGAGTCCAACAAAATAATTAACCTCAAAAAAAGACTAATGAATAAACTGTTCATAGCTCATGACTAGAATACACTTTCCAATCTCATTATATTAGTATTTTGCAATTCAGTGATTTTGTTCCATTTCTTTCTTTTTTTTTTTAATCTTCTCTCACAATCTTAATACCTCTCACCCTTTCCCTGGGTTAGCACACACACGCTCTCTTCATTCTTGGTACCAAGACTAAAATGTGTTATTTAGGATAGTTTTTATATTTGGATATTGAATAGTAATAATTTTTATTATTCCCTTTTAGAGCCAACTAGGTAGCTATTTATGAAAAAGGTTTTATTAGGCATTTGATTTCATAAAGTCATAAGTCAAAGTGACATTCAATGTACCTAATTATCTGCTTCAACACTCGTTTTCTTTACTATATTATCTTGATGGTTAAAAAGTTTGTTTCTTTCCATTTGTGTGTTCTTACCTAAGATTTTTTAATTAAATTTTTATTTTTTTACATTAATTACATTTTATTTGCTTAGTCTCCCAGCTGTAGCCCCTCCCTCAGTTTCTCCCAATCCTACCCTCCCTCATCTCCTCCCATGCCTCTCTCTAAGTCCACTGATAGGGGAGGTCCTCCTCCCCTTCCATCTAAGATTTTAATCATAGAAATTTATGGGCACTGTGATAGTTTGAAACCTGTGTATGGGGCATAATCATTAAATCAGGGTGATTTTCATTTCCTTAAACATTGAAAAAATGTTTTTGGTTAACACACCATTATATACATTTGTGCATTTGGTACTTCAATACATAATTAAATATGTATGTCTTGATCAAAACAGGGATAGCAACACTTTCATAATTTTTTAATTACAGAGGTCTAATAATATGTAAAGTAGTGTTACATTTAGGTAAAAAATAAAAATATATTTTCTGGCTTGAAAAATTATTTGGGTTTTGTTAGCCATAAAGACTAAATAATCTCCTAAATTCTGATACATCTGTGACAAACAGAATGTTTCCGTTTAATACAACTAATGTGAAGAAAGAAAAGCTATGGGTAAATATATTACAAATTAGGGGAAATTAACTCTTTAAATTTTTTTAAATTGAAAAAAAATCCTATGGCAATCATCATTCTTTTAGTGTTAGAAAGTAGTTTTCCAATTATGCATATTTTATAAATAGCAAAGTTTTGTTAAAATAAAAATACGAATACAAGGAAAGAAAAGTATTTTTTCTCCATGAAAGTCAAGTCAACGGTCCTCTGTAAACTCTGTTGCTTTGGCCTTGTTTGGAAACAGCATAAAATAGTTATGATCAAGATGTTTGATTCCACATGAATCTGAATCAAAGTTTATACTCAAATACGCACTGTACCAACTTCTGGGAAAAATCAAATTAGCTCCTATAGCTGCAGCAGAGGAGAATTTACCAACGTTCCCTTCTGCGTTTGGGAAGCTGTTGCCCAGGGCTCTCAAGGAAGGGTTTCTAGTTTCAGCTTGGCGCCCTTGATGTCTGTGGGCCTGCCTGGGTCCCTGCACCCACAGGGAGACAGAGCTTCGGGGTACAGAAAGACGTGAGACGCCCTGCAATCACTGTCCTGTTGGAAACAGCTGCCGAGCGGATAGGCTCGGCTCAACCCTTTCTCACCCAATCTACGCTCTGAATATGGGCCCCTGCAGCTGGCCTAAAGGAACACCGGGAAGGCTGGCTGTGTCCACCGCCTGTAATTTCCATCTTAGGCTGAGGGAGTAGACCCATGAATTTAGAGCCGCCCACATGAGAGAAGGAGGAATTCCTCTGCTGATAAGTATTTTTCATTTAAAAACACCAAATCAGAAAGCCCCGCTGTCGATATTTTGTAAGTTCAATGAAATGATACCTTATATTTATGATAACCGAAGCTATCCCATGGCTTTGTTGTTCTCTGTGTCCATCTTAGTTATATTCTTTGTAGCTTTACCGTTAAATGATTTAATTCCATGAGTTTCTGGACATTGTCAGTTTATTGGTCGACGGGACTGAGAGAGAGACCAAACTATTGATTAATTTTAGCACACCTTTTCCAAGTACAAGCAGTTGGTGAAGAAAGGGAGGAAATGGATTTATTAGTGTGCGTTTGCCAGTGCATTAATGATGACCCTTTGCCCATTACGTTTGCAGTCTATTTTGACTTTTCTATCAAGTCATTAGTTTTCTAAACTTTAATAATACTTGGAAGAATAATTGAGTTATTTGTAGAAAGGCATTCATTGGTAATCTCCTAGTATATAAGCCAATGTGTTTTAAACGCAGAATTATGGGGTCTTACGATTTCTTTGTCTAGTGGAAAATAACGTGTAAATCAAGTTCGTTGCTCCGAACAGTCTATTAGTGACTTAATCGTAGGATTGTTTTTCTGGGCAGCTGTGCATTAGAGTTCTTCTGTTGTGCTAAGAATGTAGCACAGTGGTAGAGCACGTGCCGAGCGCGCGTGAGGGCCCGCGTTGGAGCCTCAGCATCACCAAATAAAGAAAACAGCAAGTAGTTATGGGTAAGGTAAGTCATGGTCTTAGCCTTTCTCCAGATGAGCCATTTATGACCGCGTTCTCATTTTCTCTCCAGAATTTTTCCGAGAGCTGCTGGAAAACGCAGAGAAGTCCCTCAACGACATGTTTGTGCGGACCTACGGGATGTTGTACATGCAGAACTCGGAGGTGTTTCAGGACCTCTTCACCGAGCTCAAGCGCTACTACACGGGCGGCAACGTGAACCTGGAGGAGATGCTCAACGACTTCTGGGCGCGGCTGCTGGAGCGGATGTTCCAGCTGATCAACCCCCAGTATCAGTTCAGCGAGGACTACCTGGAGTGTGTGAGCAAGTACACGGACCAGCTCAAGCCCTTCGGAGACGTGCCGCGGAAACTGAAGATCCAGGTCACGCGCGCCTTCATTGCCGCGCGCACCTTCGTGCAGGGCCTGACCGTGGGCAGAGAGGTTGCCAACCGAGTTTCCAAGGTAACTGACGGCGAGCGGCCACCCCGCTTGGTCTTCCTCTTTCGTTAAACAAAAGAAGGAGGTTTATAAAACAAACTAACGCAAAAATTCCCATTTCCAGTGGTCTCCGCTCTTAACGGCATCGGGTACATGCCCAACCTTAATTTTTACTTTCTTTTCCTTTGTAGAAGAGAGGGAATTTCAAGCAGTTCTTTATGGTTGGCAATTAATGTAGATATTTATCATCAATGTCGAAGAGTTTTCATGAGTAATACTGTCCAGCCAAGATGGCTTGCAACTAGCATCACCACATCAAAGTTTGGGGGGATGAGACAATCTTATGGGACGATGCACTTAAGTTCTAGTCCTTAGGGATGGGTCAGGGAAACTGGGCATCTCTTCTTCGTCAGGGAGGGAGAGTTCCTTGGTCAAAGTGGAGCCCTCGCCTGGAAAAGTGGCACGGGGGAAGCCAAGCACGTTAGGGACACTAATAGATAGAAAGCATAGGTTCTGTCATGTCGTTTCTTGGGTTAGCCGTTGTCTTTGTATTCAATGCTGTGTGCTCTGTTGGACGTATGAAAAAGATAAATCACTAATCCACTTTGAGGCCTTGTTTTGCAGATAATGTCTGCAAACCTTCGAGGCAAGGGAACACTTGCATTAATTCTGGGCCGCTAGCTTTCTATATTGAACGATCCCTGTGTGGAGCAAATCTGCTTTTGTTTAAGCTCTGCCTTGACATTTAACTGCCTTTATGAGGTGGGCATGCCCAGTTATGAGGTCAGCCCTACAAATAGCCTGAAAGATGATTTATATAAGAAGTAAAGAGAAAACAATATATAAAAGGTGCCTGGCATTATATCTCTTAAAGAAGGTCATATTTATATAGAGATTATTGCCAAACAGTATTTTTTATTACAGGTCTGTGCCCAAAGAGCCTCAAAGGATTTTTCCCTTTCGGTACTACCCTGAAATTTGTTATTGTTTTTGTTCTACTCTTTCTTTCTTTCTTTTTTTGTTCTGTATTTTTATCTCATTATTTCCATCTTGGCATAAGGACATGTAGCCTACTTCTTAAAATTTTTATTTTTCCTGTGAAATGACTTGAAAATTTTCTAGTAAACCCTTTTCATAAAATTATCCATTTCTGCCAGACATGCTGATGCATGCCTGTAATCCCAGCACTCAGTGGAGGAAGCCAGCCTGGTCTACAAAGCGAGTCCAGGACAGCCAAGGCTATACAGAAAAACCCTTTCACAAAACAAAACAACAACAAAAAGTGCAAACAAAAAATAATGAGTTTCTAAAAAGTTACAGCATATGCAAGCATTTTTAAAAAAATGCTTTTAAAGTGATATTTACAAGGAATGCAATGATATAAAGATCATATAGCAAGGATGGCTGATACAATGTTTCTTATTGAATATCAACAATGTTCAGTCTGTTGAAGGAGCAAGTTGGTTAGAAGTGGTTTAATGAGAAAGCAGTAGAGTGGAATGTAAGTCTGTGAAGTCCGAGGAAGTAGAAAACAAAGATGTCCTAAGTGCCATGCCAAAGACATAACCTGGTTTAAGGAATAAATTTAATTAAATTGCAATTCAATGCATTAAAGTGAAATGTTGTCACAGAGGCTGTCACCCAGTTGAAAGATGAAATGTGCATTTACAAAGGACAGGGTGAGAAGCACGGATCTGTGTGTCCGATTTCTGCTTGTTTGTCTTGATTCTGCCTGACTCTGGTAACATTTGGACACCTCTATCATGATCCGGAAAGCTTCCTAGTAAGTAAGAAATGGCACATTTTCCTGTAAACTAGGTAAGGAGCCAAGGGGAAGGTGATCTAATGACTATTTCGCTTGTTTCTCAGGGCTCGGCATTAGTCCCAAGGCTCTTTCCTCGGCCTTTCACAGAGTGTCGGACTCTGTGGTCTCTGTTTTCCATTCTAACATGTCCCTCTTTACGACAAAGGGCATCAGGGATCAACCATGAGCACAACGTTACCTTCAGAGTTTTCAAGAATTCATGAGAGTTGCATCCTCCAAAACACGTTTTCCCTCTCTAAGCAACACCTGCAGAGGTTTAGAGTGTGGCATTGTGGGTAGTGTAACTAAAACTGTAACTATTCTATACAGAGTCTGGCTTAACTAACCTGGGCTGGCATCTTCCCTCTGAGTTTTGGAAATAAAAGATAAAATGGTATGTTATAGCCATGTGGATGGGAAGGTAGGTGAGAGTTGGTTTATAAAATTAGGTAGAGCATGACTTTAAAGAAGTTGAGCAATTTTTATCAAACAATTTATCACTCAAAGATTTTTGGATTTTCACTCCCCCCCCCCCATTCTTTCCAGATAATCTGTAGTATGTTAGGAATGTATCCACTGGTTCTGTGTTTGCTCGTCAGCTACTCTGTAGACCAAGAGGAAAGCAAAAGAAGGTTAACGATAAAAAAAAAAAAAATGTTAATGATATTGAGAGGTGAAGAAAGAACTGAGCTTGAAGCTTAAGCCCTCTGTGTATCTGAAGGGTCTATATGTTCTGCTAATGGAAAGATTTACAGTTGGTTGAATGTTGGCAGAAGTTTCAAGATTCAGGTAAAGTTCCCAGGTGGCATCAACTACTCCCATCATCATGTTTGGGGACTCTGGTTCCCTCCAGTTTCTCATTTTATTTTCAGTGGCATCTGAAGTCTTTGAAGGCATCATTAATAGTTTCTAATTAATTGTTTTGACTGGAAAATGTACTTCTTTGGCAAAACACAGCAGTATGAGACAAATGTTTTGACGGAATGTAATAGTGAAATTCCTCTTTTTAAAGTGGAAGATTACTTTGTGAGACTCAACAGAATTATTTTTTAAACTTATGCTTGCCATTTCATGGACGCAAATGATGTTTTCTCTAGCTTTAAAAACAGTGAAATTTATTTGTGACTATAGCTGAAGCTCTAGATCTGATTCTCTAAGGAATTCTATGATAAGTGTTCTAGGATTTTATTTTCTGTATGAGTTAACATTTTTGAATATTCTAGGAGTTATCAAGATATGAAGTTTCAGAATCTTTTGTTTTTTCTAGAGTATAACACTGTTACTTTAGCTAAACAAATTGAAAACACCTGTCTAGTTGAATACACCCATTCCCTGAAACTGTGGTTCTTCCCTGGAATAATTATACACATATGTCCAAGCAGACATGCAGAAAATTTTTCAAAGAAGCATTACTGAACAAACCTTCAAGTAGGAATATCTTAATTGCTTCTTCTATGTTATATAAGAATGGTGTGAAACACACAATTATGTGAACTATACCATACTTACAAATTTTATTTCAAGAAGAAAATACTCAAATCACCCAAAATGACACAGCATTTATATGAAGCTCAAACAATGTGAAGAGAAGCAACACTTTTTAGGAGAGTACAAAATAAATAATTAAATGTATAAACTCAGAAAATTCAGACTGAAGAACAAGCCATACAATGATATAAAGGATGTTGTATAGTACAGTCAAGCAAAGATACATGGAGCTTTTGAGGTTATCGCTACCTTTAAGCTGGATACTATATTTAGGGGGGCAGGGAGGTGTCCACATGTATAACATGTGTGCAAGATCATTCAACCAAAGAAACTAATATAAAAAAATCTTTTACCAATTGTCCAATTATGACTCTTCATACCTATAGTTATGACCAGTAAGCTAGGTATGTAGGTAGGAATTCTCCATCCTCCCTCTTTTTTTTTCTTACTTGCTAACCTTTCTCTACATTACGCTTAATAATGTTTGGTAGAAATGTAGTATTTCTACATTAGTGCAATGGATACAGTCTATTTTTTCATCATTCTAACTGTACTAAAGAGTGGGTCTTATCTTTTTATGTAGACCTAATGTTGAACAGAAACATGGGTGCTAGCAGCTACTCCAGAGGCTTTGCAGAAAGTGTGCACATTAGGCAGAATTTCCTAAAGAGATCTTAACTGGGTGTCTGCTTACATGACATTTCTATCAGTCACACGGAGGCAGATGTGGAAATCACTCTGGTGTCTTGCCTGGTCTATCATGAAGCCATTTACAGACAAGAGTTCATGACTTTACCTTATCTTTAATAAAAGTAACATTCTAGCCAGGCATGTAGGTCAGTTAGTAAAGTATTTACAAGTTTAAGGGACATAGTGTTGAAACCCCAGAAGTGTGTTCCACCCCCACACACACACACACAGAAGAGAGGAGAGAGAGAAATGGGCGAGCCTGTGATATGAGTACAGAAACATGCAGTAAGTGAGAGGCTGAGAGACAGGGCTCCTCACTGACTTGGTGAGAAAGTGCCTCAAACAAAGTGAGTAAATAAAACTGTAAATGATGCTTTAGGAACAATACTGCTGGCCCATGAACGAACACACACACACACACACACAAACACACACACACACACACACACACACAAACAGAAGTACAAAACAGACCAGTGCACTACCCTACCCCCAAACACACACAAGCTGCTTTGCTGCTTTGGTGGGTAAACGCTTTAAATGGTGGAAGAGCAGTCATGGCGACTGTGGAAGTCATATCGCTGATTTATTTTATAACAATTGCATTAGCGGTAGGGCTGAGAACCGTTACACCTGAAGTTATGGTCCTCCTCCCTTCCCTGTGAAAGGCAAGTGTGGCATTAGGCTTCACAAAGACAAAGGAAGTTTTATCCTGCCTGCATTTCCTGACATGCTGGTTCTTTTAGATGCAAAGACGAAGGAGATCTTATATACAGTAAACATCTCCTGTCACACCCTCTCTGATCATGGAGGAAAACCGTTCTGAAGGAAGTATTGGGTATTATATTTATGGAGGAATTTGTATTCTTTTTAATATTTGCAATTTGGAAATTTTTAAGATGTAGAATGAGAACACCTGAGGTAGCTATCACTTGAATTATTGGTGTCCTTCCTTGGGTGATGATGCTTTGATTTGAGTTGGGTCTTTCTAGAAAAGAAAAGAACTATAAAAAGGACTTGAATGGATGAATTCTTTTTACAG